CGGTCCCCCCCCCTCCACCTTCGCCGCCTCACTCCAGACTAACTTCGGGACTCCGAAGACGCTCGGCTTGTCGGTCGTGGAGCCGGACCTGGCTTCGAACATCTTCATGTCGTCCTTCAGGCATGTCAGCCAGTTCTGCTCCGGGTTTCCCTGGCCCGGATCCTCCCCTCCCACCAACTCGCCGAACATCAGCCGTTTCGGAAGCCGCCCGTCCGGCTGTCTTGCCACGGCCCCCGCAAAGAGCAGGCGCCGTTGACGGACAGTGGCCTTCATGCTCTGGCAGCTGACCCTCTTCAGCGCCTGGGCGTATGACAGCTGCCGGTAGGTGCCTCGTTTGCGCCGGTAGCCGATGACTCGCAGGAGTAGCCGGTGGTGTGTCGTCTGCAGCATTCCGTAGTGGTTGCGGCGTGGGGACCATGTCATGCAGCCGTATAGCAGTGCCTCCACTGCCTCCGCCTGGAGCAGGCGGGCTTTGAGGCGAAACGGTGCTCCCGGTCGGTCGAAGAGCTCCGTGGCGTATCGCCTAATGCACGCCCACGCTGCTTTGCTCCTGTGGTTGATCTCTCGGGTAAGGTCGCCCTGCTCGTTGACGAGGCCGCCCAGGTATCGGAACTCGGTCGTCTGTGCGTACCTTTGCCCCGCTGCTTCGATGGTCAGCACCGGCGGTGGCGGCGGCGGCGGTCGCTGTTTCTCCTTCACCCGCATCACCAATAGCTCTAGACTATAGTTCACAAAAGATGGGGAGCCCGTGGTCTCAAAACCCGGCACATACGACGCCGCGAGAAAACACAAGAGCAAAAATAGCTCAAAAATAGGGTACAAACCACTCTGAAAAAGAAAACAAAACGATAGAAAGAAAAGAACAGGTATCGCACCGACCGTTCGAGAAAAGAGCCCTCGGAAACCGATCAAATAAAACAAAACAAAAATAAAGGAGGACGCTTCCCACACCCGCCCAAAGAAAAAATCAAAGGGTAACGTACCAGCACCAGGCACCACGCACCAGGGCATGGGAGTAACGGAGCAACCAGGGCAAAGAGGCGGCAGATGGGCAGACAGCCAGACGCACATAAAACAAAGGCAACAGCAAAGCGAGATCAAGGTACCTGGGTGTGTCTGGGGGGTAACTCAAGTAGTTTCGCAACAACCTCGTGGTGCTATGTACAGAGTGGATGGTTCTCTCTTCTCTGTCTGCTGTTGAAATATCCGACGACATACAAGCAACAACAGCAGCAGAAAGTGAATAGGAAACCAGCCTCGCATCACACTATGATATCGGCGCACTTGTACGCGGCGTACGTGGTAATCTGAAGTTCCATTATTTATTCCCCGCTACCGTGCTGCCGACGAAATATGCGGATACATATCTCTATTGGAGGCCAGCTGTAAAACGAACGATTTGAAATCTAGACTAAGCAAATGGGGGGACTGTCGCCATAAGTAGGGCGAGAACAACAAGGACAACTGCTTGACACGCGCCGCGGTACGTGTGCATCTCCATCTCCTCATCTCCACCGTGTTTTTTAGAATCGTTGTAATAACATACCTTTATTTTTGTTGGATTCTATTTATGTCACCGCTGGCGTTATTTCTTATACGTCACCGCCCGTATCTCAGCCCACAGAGCTTCAATTGGCACAAAATAAATTGCGTTGTGTAGCTATGACCCACACCAACTATACAAGCCTTTCGACAGTCAAATCCGATTAGTGGTTGCGGAGATTTGCTCAAAAGGGGGCTCAGCAGTATGATACTGCATCCACCACAAAAAAATCCGACTGTAACTTCGCGCAGAGAGCTCCGATCGACACCAGTAGCTTAAGTGATGGCTGTGAATCGTGGAAACACAAAGCGAGTTACATAGTTGGTGTCGATGATAGCTCTCTGCGAGGAGGCACGGTCGTTTTATTTATGGCAGATACAGTATATCATACCGCTGAGCCCCCTTTTGAGCATTATCTCCGCAACCACTTATTGNGGCGAGAACAACAAGGACAACTGCTTGACACGCGCCGCGGTACGTGTGCATCTCCATCTCCTCATCTCCACCGTGTTTTTTAGAATCGTTGTAATAACATACCTTTATTTTTGTTGGATTCTATTTATGTCACCGCTGGCGTTATTTCTTATACGTCACCGGTGACTTAAATAGAATTATCATTTATTTTTGTTTTTGCTTTATTTTGATCGGTTTCTGAGGGCTCTTTTCTCGAACGGTCGGTGTGCGGTAGCTATTCTTTTCTTTCTGTCATCATGTTCTCTTTTTCCGAGTGGTTTATACCCTATTTTTGTTTTTGGAAAGTAAACATAACCTCACAGAAAGACGTGTTTTGTTTCCCCGCGGCGTCGTATTGTTGTTGTCTTCACATTAAAAACCGTTCCGATCTCTCTCTACCCAGTACCTTCGTATGTCCGTACAACCCCCCACTAGTGACGACGTACAATTACAATGTATCGCTGGTTAGTGGCCATGTTTGCGTGTTTGCTTGTCGTTAGTAGTCTCTCCATCGTGTGCCTTTTTCTGTCTCTCATTTCTTGTTATTTTCGGCCTGGTCCCTTTTTGTCCTCGCTCTTTTTATTTCATTTTCTCTTTCCTATTGCTGTTTCCTTTATTATTTTCTTCTTTTTTTATCTTTTCTCCCTTTTTCTGTGCCAGATGGCCTTGTCTCTGCTTGCGTTGCAAGATTGAACCAAGGGGGTGTGCTTCATTCTCTCCGGCCCGTGATGGTGACTCCTAGCCTCAGTTGTTACCTCGCATAGCGCGCAGAGGGAGTGGAGAACTCCAGAGTTTTTTTGTTGTTTTGTTTTTCTCCCATCATTGGACTCTGTCGTCTGCCCCTCTGGCCCCTATCCTCCACTTCTACTAGCTAGACGACCCAACCGGGGTCACAT